CAAATAGGTACCTTGGTCCAACCTTGCCTTTCCTGGCGCTGGACTTTTCACCTGACCGGCTTCGTAACCATGGATCCTTGCAGCTCGGTCAATCCACGCGCTGCCTTAACCGAGCAGCTTCCTTCAAGGTCGGGCCACACAACTTGGCCTAATACCTGTTCGGCCCAAATCTGTCCGGCACAACTCTGTCCGGCCCAATTCCATATCATTAATCTCCCTCTCAAAAACAAACAGTGAGTTAGAGCCCAGTGAATAACAAATGTGTAAAAAGGTTAAGAATGATGTCCTTATAGTCTTTGAAACAATTAATTATCATTAGAACATTTCAATCAATATCATTTGTTAATCAATCGTTCAATCATTCAATTTAATGAATCATATTCATATAGGTCATACGTGGTACATCTAATAGCGACATTACAATAGGTCTTATAAAGACCGAACAATTAATTGATGGCCATCAAACAATAACAATAGTTCCAAGATTTGGAACTGACAGAGATCTCTGTAACAATAGCAATATTAATAACAATAACAATAACAATACGCTATGGATGCCACGAATACAATTCAAAAGAAGATCATCATTCAATCAATAAAAAGTAATCATTTAGAAATGATATAATTTATCATTCAGAAAATAAATACAATTTGAACATATCTTTACAACATTGTTACTTACAGTAGGCTCCTCGGTACAAGTACTAATGGTTCGGCGTCCGACCTGAACAAATAAAGTCAAGCACAATACAATTACAATCACACTCTTAAAATTCCATTCAATTCGATCGTTCGATCTCTATTCGTTTTCTCTTATTTGATTCTAATTTTTTATTCGGTTATTCTTATTTATTTCATATATACAAGACAAAACACAATGTAGAGAATTAAATCCCATTATCGAAAACAGTATTAACAAAAGTCATAAAACATTCATTTCACTTGACTAATATCAAAGGGGTGAATTTGAACCACCCAAAAAGCCTTGACACATGTTGGTTCAGAACCTCGCGATGAGACACAATAGTTGGCTTGGCAAAACAAGGGTTCGAGTTGACGCCACTAGCTTTGATCCGGTGTTCAATCACCTACATATATATAACAAACAGTGAGTTAGAACCCAGTGAATAACAAATGTGTAAAAAGGTTAAGAATGATGTCCTTACAGTCTTTGAAACAATCAATTATCATTAGAACATTTCAATCAATATCATTTGTTAATCAATCGTTCAATCATTCAATTTAATTAATCATATTCATATAGGTCATACATGGTACATCTAATAGCGACATTACAATAGGTCTTATAAAGACCGAACAATTAATTGATGGCCATCAAACAATAATAATAGTTCCAAGATTTGAAACTGACAGAGATCTCTGTAACAATAGCAATATTAATAACAATAACAATAACAATACGCTATGGATGCCACGAATACAATTCAAAAGAAGATCATCATTCAATCAATAAAAAGTAATCATTTAGAAATGATATAATTTATCATTCAGAAAATAAATACAATTTGAACATATCTTTACAACATTGTTACTTACGGTGGGCTCCTCGGTACAAGTACTAATGGTTCGGCGTCCGACCTGAACAAATAAAGTCAAGCACAATACAATTACAATCACACTCTTACAATTCCATTCAATTCGATCGTTCGATCTCTATTCGTTTTCTCTTATTTGATTCTAATTTTTTATTCGGTTATTCTTATTTATTTTTCTTCTGTTCCTTTTAAATATGGATGACTAGTATTATGAATAAATTAGATAATTAACCTCCAATTAAAATATGTTTAGCTATGTATTAACCAAACTAATTAAATACAAATAATCTAATCATATACCAACCCTTATTAACTTCACTAATTACACAATCAAACTTAAATTAGGTTCAGACACATTAAATTACAATTATTCAGTCATGTTTAAATTACTGAATCAGAAATTCATATACATTTTGCAATTTCAACTCCATTTTCAAGCAAATCAAGGCCTATAGTGATCCCGGTTGTCCCTTTACTGTTCTATTGTCTTCCGGACTCGGTTCCGTGGAGTTGGTAGCTGTATCTATCTTGTTGTGGTCCTTTAATTCCGTTTGTGTGAGTTTTAGGATGTTTTGGGCAGGGTTGTTACAGGTTGGTTGGGCCTTGGTGTCAATTCCTTGTTGCCCAGTTTTTAGGCGATCCGCTCGAGCGGGTCTTCTTGCGCTCGAGCGGGGATTGCACACCCCCAGTATTTCGTGTCCCTACAAAACTTCTGCAGGTGTGATTTCTACGCTCAAGCGAGTTCTTTACACTCGAGCGGTGGCGCTCGAGCGAGTTTGTTGGCGCTCGGGCGGGTAGTACCTTTGGGTGTAAGTTCTGGAAGGGGGAAATCTACGCTCGAGCGGACTGGTTTTCGCGTTCAAGCGGATTTACTTTATTCTTGTGTCTTGGCGCACGAGCGGGACTTTTTGCGCTCGAGCGGACCTAGTTTTTATTCTTGTCGTATATCAGTTGGCTGTGGGGCAGTTTTAAATCACTTTTTCTCATTCTTTCTCTCTCTTACTTTTTCGAAAAGGCCATTTGAGAGCTTCTCTCTCTAGAACCTTGCCTTCTCTCTAGGTATTGATCTAGTAGGAGTTGTTTCCTCACCTTTGGCCTTTACAAAATAGTTGTTGATCGTCAGGGGCTATCTTTTGATCCGAGAAACTCGTGGTTTGGAGCATTTTCGTTTTCACCATCTTCTTCGTTGGGTGTCACCTTTTGAGGTAGGGGTTCCTACTCACTCTTATGGTCTTTGACCTAGATTTTTAGTTATTTTGATAGAGTGTTGAATTTGGGAAATTTTGGGACTTAGGGTTTCAAAATGTGTTAAAAAGGGGTTTTGTGATTTTGGGCTCATAACATGTATTTTGGGTTTCAAAGTGATGATATAGTTGTTGGTTGTTGATATTGGGACCTTTGAGTTAATATTGGGAGTTGGGGGTAAAAGCCCTAAATTGTTGTTTAAAATTAATTGGCGAAATTAATTTGGGAAAATTGTAGTTATATGAAATTAAGTTGGAAATAATGAAATTTACTCATTATATGGTTAAATAGTGGAGTTAGATTTATTAATTGCTCACTCTTGAAAACATTGATATTTTATCTGTTGGAGCTTTTATTATCTGTTTAGAAATAATTGCTTGGGCTACCGGTGGAGGGTAGTTTTGATTGTTGTAGACAATGCATGATGATTAGGCAAACTAAAACTAATCAGTTGGATATGTCATAGAGTATGACGGTTGATAGAATACATTAACGTTATGTATTGATTGATTGCGTATATGACCTTTGTGTATATATGTTGTGTGTGTGGGAGGAGATAGGGGATGTACTCCACGGTTTAGGGGAAGATGGGGGATGGACCTCTAAACCTGATGTTGTTTGGGAGGAGATAGGGGATGGACTCCACTGATACAGCTCATATGTTTGTCAGATAAAGTGTTGATACAGCTCGTATGCTTATCTTTGGAAGTGTTGATACAGCTCATATGCTTGTCATTGGAAGTGTTGATATAGCTAATATGCATATCTGTTGAAATGTGGATACAGCTTGTATGCTTATCTGTTGAGATGTTGATACAACTAATATGTTTATCTATTATAAAATGGGAAGTGCTTAATATGAGCCATCGTCTCATATAAGTGGTTGGCCAGGTTCTGAGCCATTGATGTAAATTGTGAAATTGATAAGAAATGGAAACTGAATTGAAACATGAACATGGTGGTCATGAAATGGAAATGGATTATGAATTGGTTTATGAAAGTTGAACATTTATCAATTGCTAATGTCTTAGTCATTGCTCATACTGTGTTTAGCATATTCGACTGGGCGTTGGCTTACCCTTTATGGGACATTATTTTTAGGTACAGGTAGTATGCCACCTCCAAGGACACAGCTTGGATGATGATGAGAGTTGAAGACTCTTTCTTTTGTTTATTTTGATGTATTACATGTAAATTCAAGCCAAGGGCTTAATGCGTATTGAGTTAGTACTCTTCTTTTTGTAACCAAGTGTTAACTTGGAAAGCTGTAAGCCCATAGGGCATTTGCTTTTGTTGTTAACATGTACTATAGTTGTAAGAATTACTTTGATGAATAGAAATGGTTGATTTCTTTTGTATCAATGCATGTCTAAAATGTTGGTTATTATGTATTATTTTGAGGGCGTTACAAGGCCCAAGTAATTAATCTTCACATTTATTTCCATAATCTTAAGCCTAATTCAATTTCAATTAAATTTAATTAATTCTCAATTAAGGCTTAATTTGACTGCATCTAATTTTACGAACCTAAATTAGATTTTTAATTGAATTCTTATAAGGCTCTAAATATCAAATTAAATTCATTCTTTCATTTTTTAAACTCAATTTCATGAAACATCCATTGTCTTGAACCCAAGCTCTAATTCATGTTTAATCTCTTCTCAAACTCCATGAATCATGTTTGAAAATAAGTTTAGAAAACGATTGTTTTGTTCATAGATTCTTGAAAACATGACATGCGTGTAAGGATCATGCTATAATAGGTGTTTGAACTAAAATTATGCCATGCATGTTGAGTTTTAAGCATGTATTCTTCTAATTCCTCATTTTATAATTATGTAGACCCAACTCTAATATTTACTCCATGAATTATGTAACGAGTTGAATCAAGTTGAATTTTTGCCCTTAGTATTATTGTTGTTGTTATTATTATTATTTATTTTATAATCTTGAGAGAGTTACAAATATTTATGGTGTGCACTACCAAACGAAATATATTTTTGTAGTGAGAAAATATTTTATCATTTTATCATTTATGTTACAAAATATTATAATGGTGTGAAAATATACTTGAATTGATATATATATATATATATATATATATATTCTTTTTTTTGTGTAAAGAGAGGCAACCACGTGGAGGGGCTGCGCCTCCACTCCTTTCCTCTCATTCATTTTTCTCTTTTCTTTTTCTTCTTATTTGAAGCATCCACAATGGTCTGGTCTACAAAACTGGAGAGAGAACCCAGTCAACCACAACCGTTTCTGGGTATCCTCCGGTCCCCAATCACTGGCACTTTCAGGATTTGATGAAGTAGATGATGGCCCAATGGCATTGAGTTCTTCTCTAGCAAAGATAGGTGCTTTGGTTCTCAACACTGCTGACCCTCTAACCAAATCGAAGCTCTCTCACATGGCCTACTCTCTCTGGCACCGACAAAATTTGCCAATCAAGGTTTCTCAACTGCCCTATCATCCTACTCGCTCTCCTAAACCTCAACTGGTTTCCCAAAGGAAATTCCAGCTCCCAAAAGCTCGGGTTTGCCTCTCAATGCTTATATGCTCCATAATCTTGCTCATGTGGAGCTGAATGCTATTGATTTGGCATGGGATACTGTTGTCCGATTTTCACCACACTCTGAACTTCTTGGAGAGGGGGTTTTTTTTTTTTTGTTGATGATTTTACTCATGTTGCTGATGATGAAAGTCGCCATTTTGCTTGGTGTTCACAGAGATTGGCTGAACTTGGTTTCAGTTATGGAGACATGCTAGCTCATAATCTTCTTTGGAAGGAATGTGAGAAATCATCACACAATGTTGCTGCACATTTGGCTGCAGTTCCACTTGTTTAGGTTTTAGACCCATGTTCTTGAGACCAAAGTGAAGAGCTTGGTGAGAGCAAAGTTTTGATCAGTGGAGATTAAAATCCGACAAAATAAAAAATTGGGGTTTTGCTTGTTTTCTATTCTAGCTTGAGGTAGGGATTTTTTCTACACTTCTTTATGCACTTTTACTTGATTATAGGGAGCTTAGAGTTGTATATAATTCAATTAGAATTTTTTGAAAAATTTGTGATTTATTTGCTTAGAAGAGAAATTTTGAGAAAAATAAAAAGTTGATGCCAAATTGCGAAAGTGTAAACTTGGAATATGTTTGTAAGGTTATGAAAGAGTTATGTTTTAAATTTGAACAAAAACAGACTTCGACTCGATCGGTTTTTAAATTTTTACCGGTTTACGACCAAAAGAGCATTTTTAAAGAAAACAAAGGAATTACGTTTAACTTTTGGGACTTTTGATTAAAATAGGATGTCATGGTTGAATAATGCTTGGAGAATGAGTTTGGAAAGAAAATGATGTTTTCTTGGACATTAACGGTATTATTTCGCTTAATGTATCTGTTGGAATAAAATTGACACGGTTAGAAATAGACCTTAAGAGGTTACCGGACGTGATTGTGATATGAAAACTAGTGTAGTTGTTCATATTTGATGAGATGTGGAATACATTGTATTTATCAAAATTTTTGGAATTTAATTGATAGAAATATCTGTTTTGGGCTATCAGTGGAAGATAGCTATGATTGTTGTAGAAATGCATGAGACTTAGGTAAATTGAACCACATTTCTCATTTGTTGCATTGGACATTGCATTACATTCATTTCATTGGAAATGTATCCATTTTTGAGAAATGCTTTGGAAATGTATCTGTTTGTGAAAAGATGAATGCTTGGTGAATCTAAGTAGGGGGTGTAGGACCGAGCAGTTAGGTGTCGAGCCTTCCAGTTTACTAGTAAAAATGACAGTGGTAGTGCATTAGGGCCTACTAGCAGACACTCACCTAGAGATTCACAAAACCCGTATTCATGTAACAGATATGGTTTAAAATAAAAATGGTTTTATATCTATTGTTGTATCTCAGCATTGCATGCTTTATAAAAAGAGAGATAAGCAGTTTTATCATGAGCATGGCATGAGCATACTCCTCTTTAGTCTTGTCATTGTTCATATGTTGTGTAGTATATCTCTACTGGGCTGTGGCTCACCCTATAAGGAAAACCATTTCAGGTACAGGTGTTATGCCTCCGCCAAGGCATTGACTTGGGAGGACTCGGAGCTGATGCTTCATTTTTGTTTTATTGTTATTTGTTGAATGTAAGCCTGTAACAACCCTCATACTGTTTACTGATTAATGACTGACCGATTACCGATAATCACCGATTACTGTTAAATGAAACTGATAATGACTGATAACTGACTGATAATCATTATCTGTTTGGCTTCCATTTTATACTTGTTGTAAAATGTATGCTTGGAATTGGAACTGGGGCATTGAGATGTGTATAGCATATATTTGGCATTTGGGATTTAATGGAAATGGATATATGGAATAGTTAGCTATATATATGTGTTTGTCTATCATGTGAGTTTTGTTGCATAAATAGATATACCCTGCCCAAATTTCGGGACGTTACAAATTGAAATGTTTAATTTTAAAACTTGCATCCTTAAGCTTAAAATCCTCAACTCACATGGAAAATTACTTCATTTTGTGAATCTATGCAAGAGAATGAATGTATGTTCATGAATCTTTAAAAATCTTGACATGCATGTATACATTTTCCATTTATATTAACATCTCCTACAATCAAGTTTAATTCACCTCATCAAGTTTATGTTCTTCTTAAATAATCTAGAACTCCATAAGTATGAATGTGATTCTTCAAATTGGTGAGATACAAGCAAGGAATTCTTACCTAGAGTTAGAGAATTAAGTTGAATTCCTACTTTTCCTTCAGTTTTCTTCTTTCTCTGGGTGTTCTTTTCTTCAATTTCTTTTTCTTCTCTCCTTCTCTACGTTGAGTTGTCTCGCCAAGTCTTTACTCTCTCTCTCTCTCTCTCTCTACGTGTATAGTTTAAGGCTACCCAACAAGATCCACTAAGTCTATTTTCTATATTCTTTGATGAGTAAAAAGCATCAGACTCAAATTAATTAGACTAAAGAAATTAATTAAAATCAATTTGAATCAAATTAAATTAATCTCATCATCTTATAATCTTAATTACACTAAATTAAAATATACTAAGATGAATTAGGCTCTAATTCCTATCCAATTATTTAATTCTAACTTGTTAAAATTAGCGAATCAGACAGGTTTAATTTTCATTCAACCTATCTGTTCAAACAATACAATTCAATAAATCTCATAACAATCAATAACACTTAACCACATAATTCCTTCTCTACGTTGAGTTGTCTCGCCAAGTCTTTACTCTCTCTCTCTCTCTCTACGTGTATAATTTAAGGCTACCCAACAAGATCCACTAAGTCTATTTTCTATATTCTTTGATGAGTAAAAAGCATCAGGCTCAAATTAATTAGACTAAAGAAATTAATTAAAATCAATTTGAATCAAATTAAATTAATCTCATCATCTTATAATCTTAATTACACTAAATTAAAATATACTAAGATGAATTAGGCTCTAATTCCTATCCAATTATTTAATTCTAACTTGTTAAAATTAGCGAATCAGACAGGTTTAATTTTCATTCAACCTATCTGTTCAAACAATACAATTCAATAAATCTCATAACAATCAATAACACTTAACCACATAATTAACATGTAGGAACATAATTAATAGTTCTAATTAAGGCTCAATTCAATCACTCAATCACAGACAATTTCAGTAAACTGAATCAATTTTCAATTAAATTTCCCAAATGACTCTAAAAATTCCCATAAGCCCATCCATGTACTCAATTTCAATTGTGCACCTAATAAAATTATCGATTTCAATTTCAAAGTTGTAACCTTAACAGACAATTTTTCAATTTGCACAAATGTGCACAAATTAAATTACTTGGCACTTAGTTCAATTAGTATTAACACATAATTAATTAATTAATTAATTAAAGTCACAATTAACAAGTCTGGGTCGTCACAACATATTCCCTAAATGCTTACATCTTTCCAAGTCAAGACTTGGGTACATCAAAAGTGAATCATAAATTCAATACAAATAAAGTCCCAAACTTGCACAAAAAATTTAATACAACATAATAAAATTGAGCCTTCAGCTCTACAGTTCTCTCAAGCTAAATCCTTGGTGGAGGCATATTACCAGCACCTGAAAATGATCTTTCCAAGTAGGGTGAGTCAAAGCTCAGTAGAGATAACCTAACACAATAAGTGAATCTTAACAAAGATATAAGTATAACATGTATACACAATGTCCATGATCAAATCATTTACGACTCTTTTAAAAAACCATATTACGCAAAGCTTTATATCTCAATTCATAAGTCATTTCCATTTCATTCAGACAACTAAACTGAGGGTACAACTCAATGGGTCTCTAACAAACACAACCATCATACAAACACTTCTATTTGTCATTTTACGAAAATTCTGTCCGCGGGAATCGTCACCCATGTGTATGCGCAGTTTTTGGGAATTTCACCTTGGACACACAAGCCAACTTAATTTAACGGAGTCCATCCCCTTTCTTCTCCCGAACATGGAGTGCATCCCATTTCTTTTCCTAAACATCATACATTTACAATGTATTAAAGACATGGCCATATTTAATGACAACGGATAAGAGATTAGTTTCAATTCACCTAATCTTCATGCAATTTCTATAACAATCATAGTTATCCCCTCCACTGATAGTCCAAAACAGATATTTCTAAACAGATATACCATCTCTATGACAAATAAATTATCAAAATTTCAATAGGTGAGAGGTAATACACATCAAACTTCACCATTTATGTAAACACCCATCCAATTTCACATTCCCAATACTAATTTCATTTATTTATACAAAATAACTATTTCAGACATTTTAGGAAAAAAAACTCCATTTTCTTTCGAATCCTTCCCAAGTATCAAAATCTACAAATTAATCACACCACAACCTCATATCTACTCCCATAATCATTTCTAATACATTCATTTGAAAACCCCTCTTTTGATTTTAAACTAAAACCCTAGATTTGTTCAAAATCATCGAAATTCTAACATTTTTTACACATCAACAAATAACTAAGTTAAAAACCATAGAAGAGTGTAGAAAGTCCCTACATCAAGCTTAGAAGACCAAGGAAGAAATGGAGGAACTTCAAAGGCACCGAAACCAAGCTTTATTCGGATCAAATGAGATCTCGGAGTGCTCTATCTTTTTATCAAAAAGAGTAGGGTAGAGAGATCCTTAGATCTAGTTGTATTTGTAGTGGGAAGTTGGGTTTTAGAAAGAGAAATGGTAGATCTAGGGTTTTTAGGGAAAAAGATATGAAAAGGTGATGTAAAAAGGTGTTTCTGTGAATTGATATACGCGTAGCTTGCTCGAGCGCAAGAGTTGTCGCTTGAGTGACCAGACACAATAAGTTGTTTCGCTCAAGCACAAGAAGCTTAGCTCGAGCACAGAATGCACACTTCCAGAAGTTTTACAGATAGAAGACCATCACTCGAGCGTAAGAAGTCTCGCTTGAGCAAAGAACACTACCTCCCCAGTATTTTTGCAGACCTGCAAAAGTACTGGGAGCTCACAAAGCTCGCTCGAGCAAAGAGGCCAAATTCTGTGCAACAACAGTTTGAACCAACTAACAACTAACCTGTTCCAAACACAACCGAGACACTCTAATACTCCAACTCAATGAGAAATAAGGGGAAAAAGACAAGAACAACAATATAGAATCAAGAAACCTGAGTCCAGAATGCAAGATGGGTCGGGTCTAAACCAAAATCACTATATTTCTCCTTCTATTACCTCATTAAAAGTTTTTAATAGAATGTAGTCATGTGACAAACGTGTGACCACGAAATGAGGGTAAAAGATAAAAATTATTCTCATTTTTACCAATATACACTTTGTCTCACATGATAAGCATGTGAGAGTTATATAATACTATATATATATGTATGTTTATATTCTGAAAATTGGGCCGAAGATGTTAGAAAATAGATCTATTGAATTTTTATTTTTTTTTTAAATGTAGTAGAGAAATGAAGATGAATAGACAAAAGATTGTGTTATTCTAAAAAACAGAATTTATTGATTCCAATTTTTGCAAAACCCTAATTC